CTTAGAATAAAAAGAATAACTCAAAAAAAAAAAAAAAAAAAAAAAAAAAAAAAAGAAAAAAAAAGAAGAACACAATTACACGTAAATGAGAATAAAAAAAAAAAAAAAAAAATAGCGAAACGAAAGTCTGACGAAGCTCGTCGACGACTTTTAACACGGACACAGCATTCGAGTCTATTCTGAGCGTTTTCAAGCGTGTATACACATATGTGCAGGGATCTACGAGAAGAGAGAATGGAATAATTTACAATTAATCCCTGTGAAGATACGCATCCATGACGAATATATGTGTGTCAATCCACACATGTACAGATATACATAAGCCGCTAGTGAATTTTCCTCGTATTGTACAATTGCTAGATAAGAGTTATTGCTATTGTTTGTGCAACGAATCGGGTCGGATCTAATTTTCGTTGAATGAAAAAAAAAAAAAAAAAGAAAAGAGATAAAAAATGTTTCATAAAAATATATTGCTACGTGTTTTAACTTTTGGAATGCGGGCGAATAATTCGAATAATTTTTTTTATTAATATGTTTGCATTATTATTTAACGCGTTTGGTGCCGTGGAAAATAGAAAATCATTTTGTAATTGAAAAAATTAAAAATTATATAATATAAATTTTTAAAAGGTTTAAATAACAAAATTGGAAAAATTGATATTTGATTAGTATTCAAGAATGTTTAGAAATGAGATTCAACGGTATTGAAAGTTACTTATGGATAGTACTTGAGCAAACATACTTAATTTTACTTATGAATAATAGAGATTTAAAAATATTATTAATTCAAAAGAAAATACTAATTCAAAAATATTTAAAATACACTCAGTAATAAAGTATCCAAGTGCACAGTCCAAAATTTAATTTAGTATTATTTACAACTAATATTAAAAAATATTCAAAGTTATTCAAATACTCAATAATACTCGATAATATAAAAAAATACTCAAAAGTATCCAAAAAACGTTATTCTTAAATATTTAAAAATATTTAAAAAGTAATATTCGAATATTTATTAAATCCAAGCTACACTCGGAAATTATTATTCGAAATTCGAAAATACTCAAAGACTTACTCAATACAAAAGTAGTATTAAAAGAATACTCGATTAGAAAAATATTATTTTATCAATATTCTTTATATCTCGTCACGTATTTTTCTCATGTTTCGTTTCAACGTGGAATACTCATAAAATACTCGAAAAATCCTTTTCACTGCTGAATAAAAATGGAGTACGTGTGACCTGGACGGCACGTGACGCGTTAAACTAGAACCAACAAGATGTTCGTGTTTTCTATTCGTTTCAAGGCAACCAGAATTTGCAGTTATTTTCGTTATCGTTCTCGTTTATGTAGAACTACTGATTACATAATCGGCACAAATGTGTTTTCAAGATGTTGAATGATGCACGTCACGATAACGAAAATCATTGTCTAACAGAGGAATGGCGGCTTATTTTAGAAAAATAAATCTTCGACGTATCGAAATCGAAAATAACGAATACAAGAAGAAAAAACAAATTATCATTATCTTCCACTGCACAATTCGCGATAAATAAAATCTTATTTTTCCATTCAACACCGTCGA